CTCCATGGCATTCTGACATACCAAATCTTGAAAGTACCTACCTCTTCAATATATTTCTCTTGGTCCAACGTAACTATTCCTTTTTCGGTATCTCTTTCGATTCTGATTCCTAAACAATAATGTGCTTCTCCCAAATCCTTCATTTTGAATCTGTTTGATAAGTTCCTTTTCAATTCTAACTTATCATGTTTCCTTTCAGAGAATATGAGTAGGTCATCCACGAAAATAGCTATGACTAACCTTTTCCCATTTGTGTTCTTCATGTATACACATGGATCTTTGGACGACTGACTGAATCCCAAATCTTTTATGGCCGAATCTAGTAGTTGATTCCATGCTCTACTAGATTGTTTGAGACCATACAGAGTTTTGTTCAATTTACAGGTTCGTCCATCTGGAAGTTGCATGTAAAGTTCTTCAGTCAATTCAGGATGGAGAAATGCTGTCACAACATCCATTTGATCGATTTCCCAATCATACTTGGCAGCTAGTGCCAAAAGAAGGCGAATCGAACAATATCTGACAACTGGGGAGTAGGTTTCTTCATAGTCAATACCCTGTGTCTGAGAAAAACCTTTAGCTACAAGTCTAGCTTTGTAGCGTTCTATCTCTCCTGTTGCAGTCAGCTTAGTTTTGAAAATCCATTTACTTTTTATTGATTTTCTGCCTGGTGGAAGTTCACAGAGTGTCCATGTATTATTCATCTGATGGGCTCGGAGTTCTTCCTCCATAGCTCCTCTCCATTCTGATGAATTTTCTCCCGACAAAGCTTCCTGAACTGTCTTAGGATCACTAGATATCTCAGTCATGGCATAATAAACATAATCGGAATTGAAAATACTTGTATTTGGATGACGCAATCGTGTCGATCTTCTCAGATCTTCATCTTTGGGATCTTCTAGATGAATTCCTGGTACTTCATCGTTGATCGTTTCATTCGAATTTATTTCTCTTACTTGGTCTTCGGATCTGCTTCCTCGTTCATTTTCTGAGACTTCATTAGTGGAAGATGAGGACGGGCATGATTCCTCCACTTCAACAGGAGATTCTTTCACTTCTACAATGTGAAACTGCTGTTGAGATTCTTCATCTTCCGTTACTTGAGGAAATAGATTGACAAGTTTACTTGACATTTCATTCGAGACAGTGACATTTTCAAAGAAAGTGGCATCTCGGGCAATGACAACTTTCTTGGATACAGGGTGTATAAATCGGAATCCTTTTGAATTTTCACTGTATCCTACAAATATCATTTCTTGAGCTCTCGGATCAAGTTTCTTACGTTTTTCTTGCGGAATGTGAACTAATGATTTGCAGCCAAAAACATGGAGATTGGATAAATCAGGTTTCCGTCCAGACCAAGCTTCTTCTGGTGTAGTCTTCTGAAGAGCTTTAGTGGGTGCTCGGTTCTTGAGATATGTAGCAGTGTTGATTGCTTCGGCCCAAAATTCATTTCCAAGTTTGGAGTGAATCAACATACTACGTGCATATTCCATTAAAGTGCGATTCAGTCTCTCTGCTACACCATTTTGCTCAGGGTTGTACGGGATTGTTGTCTCATGTTTGATGCCGTTGGTCTTCAAAAATTGCAAGAATTCATGGTTCACATATTCAGTGCCGTTGTCTGTTCTGAGGCATTTGATGTAACATCCTGATTCATTTTCTACAGCTGCTTTGTAGTCCATGAGTTTCTGCCTTACTTCGGTTTTAGAATGTAGAAAATACGTTGTGGATTTTCGGCTGAAGTCGTCGGTGAAGGTTAAAAAATATCTTGCTCCTCCAATAGACTTTTCTTGAATCGGTCCACATAAATCTGAATGTACTATTTCAAGATGTTTCTCTGTTCTTCTCCTACCAGATTTGCTGAATGGAAGTCGATGAGATTTCGCTTTGACACAGACATCACATTGACTTCTAGAATTTTCTACTGAGTATTCTATACCTGTAGCTAGTTCATTTCTCAGAGTTTTCATATAATCTTGGTTCAAATGTCCTAATCGATGGTGCCACAGATTGAATGAGTCGGATAACTTAACAAAGTGAGCTGACAGAGGTTTGCAGTCGAGACGATACATTCCGTTGACTTCAGAAGCTGTGCCTAGAATGTCCTCTGATTTCAAATCAACTTGTACTCCAGTTATTCGGCATCCATTTATAGCATCGAAGATTATTGTTTTTCCTGCTTCGACCATCTTACTAACAGATAACAGATTCAGCATTATATTAGGAGAGTGAATGACATCTTGCAGAATAGCCTGCCGTTCATTCTTTAGAATAATGTCGATGTTGCCTTTTCCAGTGCATTCTAATTTCTGTCCATTAGCTATCCCTAATTGTCTTCCATCTTCTTTCTGGAAATCACGGATCCAGGAAAGATTAGGAGTGAAGTGGGCTGTAGCTCCAGAATCAATAAACCAATCTTCTGTGCATGAAAACGACGAAAAATTATTGCATGACAGTGCAACTGGCCCTTGTTCTACTTTGTGGTTTCCCTTGGCATTTTTCCTGGGCTTCGGACATTTATCTGCTTTATGATTGTAGGCATTGCAGTTGAAACATCTGGGACCTCTCCTCGGATTCTGTGTATTCTGAATCTTGCTGTTCCTGTTGCTGTATAGTGCCAGTTCGGAAGATTTAACACTGATATCCTTAACATTTTGTTGAAGAAGTAAACTCTTAACAAATTCAACAGAAGTCACCTGCTTGGAACCTTGAATGCCTAATATCAATGGTTTGTATTCTTCTGGTAAGCCTCCTAGGATTATCCCTCCAACAACGTTATCTTTGAAAGGTTCTCCTATGGTTTCTAGTTGTTCTGCGATTTGAAGAATTCTGTCGATGTACTCCTGCATGGAAGAACATGATTCAAATCTGGTCTTGAATAGGCTTGAATATAAACCAATCATTCGAACAATTCCTGTGTCCTCGTATGCTCTTTTCAAATTATCCCATGCTTCCTTAGCCGTAGTAGCTTTCTTGGTTTCGGCGGCTGCTGAGGGTTTCAGGGATAAATTGATCTTGGCAAGGGCTCTCTGATCAGTGTCTGGATCAATAGAATCACCTGGCTTCGGTTCTACACAACACCAGAGTCCTGCATCCACTAGGAAGTTTTTCATCGAGAATTTCCAATCATTGTAGTTACTGCCATCCAGATGTTTGGATTCTGATAAACCTCCAACTGAAGTAGACACTACTGTAGACTTGTGGGTAGAATTATGTTTTTGTAATTCTCTTCGTAATTCAACCAGTTGTGCTTGAATTTCTTTTACTGAAGTCATCTTGAAATTGTCTTGTCAAAAAAATATATTTGACAATGAAAATATCTTCTGAGATGAATCGATTACTTCTTTATTCCTGCGTGCTTTCAGTTCCTTTCTGGGCCCATAACCTGTTAGCAGGGATTGATTCTGCAGTGGAACTTACGCACTGATACACACAATGTTGAATATTTTTATATTCGTAAAACAATTACAACATACATAAACAACGTTACTATCCTAGCAACATAATACAGAATGAATTCACATGATTACAATAAGTGTAGATCTATATTAAACGAACTTATTCTAACAGAAACGCTGATTTATATTGAACTTATAACTACTATTTATGTAAAACGATTTATATCACGCGGTATATGACTGTCTCTCTGACACTCGCTGCTCAACTGACTGACGGCAGTTGTCCGGCTGTTTATATATGAGATCCCTTGGTAGGCTTTGGTTCTTCTTTTTGTTCTAGAAGCTTCTTAGAACAATACTTCTCTCTCTAATTGTTCCATCGAATGTTTCCAGAACATTCCAGAATCTTCTGTCACGTTATTTGTCACCGCGTCATATATTGAGTGTTCGGAAATAGGCTGGTGCATGTCGGAATCATTGGGAGGTTGGAGAACAATCTGGGATGCATGTTACAGGATGATCGTTGTACTCCTGCCTTCTTGCTGATGTTTCTAGAGCCCCTCTAAGGGGAATATCATTACACTATGATACAGTCTAAGGAATATTCCCATGATATCAGATATTTTCCAATTATTCTAATTAACGAGAAATTTCATACCAAAAATTAAACAAAATACGAGAAAAAATCAAGTACGCCAATTTAAAACAGATTTGCTACAGTGTAGAACTTTGGGTGGAAAAAGGGGGTCTAACCTCAAATTTTATTTTGATCCAATTTTTTTTTATTAGTGCCATTCGATAGTACACGTCGAGCTTTCTCATTTTTTAAATATTTGCACTTATTTCAGTGCCAGTACATTGAGAATTCACATTCTGAAATATCTGAAATATCAATTATTTCTAATAGTAAACAAGTTACGCAATCCAAATTTCATATTCAGCCCCTTTCTTTCCAATGGCGTAGAAGTTTTAGATCATTATTTACTGATAAAATCAAGTTCTACGCCCATTTTATTCATAACGATTATGAAATAGGTTTTATTGCCCAATAAAATTATGCCAACGTACCAAATTTAAGGAAAATCTCATGAGCCGTTTCAATGTTATGAAGCCAAAAAGATTAGAACGATTGTAACTTCAGAGCCGTCTAGCGCCCAAACTAAGCAAATTTGTACAGATGTAAGTTTGCTTGTATCGAATTGTTTTGGTCTGAGAAATATGTAGTCGTTTTTTTTGTAAATACCTTTTAGGGACACCGTGTAGATGCCTCAGACAATAACTTAAAACATGACTGAATACTGTTTGGAGGTTATTCGAGGAGGTGAAGTATTCATTTCTCAAGATTTTCTATGATTAAAAATATTAGTATCATTTCAATCAAGAACAAATCGAATGTCCCAAAATATCACTGTGCTCAAAACTACACTATCAGAGCCCGAAGAATAATATTCAATCGATAGTCAGTGACACCTTGTTTGAAAAATGATTGAAGAAATGAAAAATAATATTTGATAGATCTTTTCGCTTCTGTCTTTCAATACTTCTCAGTAACAGAGATAATGGGAATAACAAAATTCCAGGCATATTTTTTATTTTCAGAAAGCTACCGCGCGACCATGGCTCAATAGTCTATTGTACTACCGGAGTTGTTCTTAAACAAATGGAATCAGACCCAGCACTGAGCCAAGTTTCACATATCATTATTGATGAAATACATGAAAGAAGTGTTCCATCTGATTTTTTGATCACATTACTGAGGGAAATCATCAAAAGAAGAACTGATTTGAAAGTATGATGAGAACATGTGAGATATTTATTTTCATACATAGTTTTTGACTTTCAGGTCATATTAATGAGTGCTACCTTAAATTCAGAGGCATTTTCCAAATACTATAACAATTGTCCACATCTTAATATACCTGGTTTTACTTTTCCTGTTGAGGAATATTTCTTGGAAGATGTTCTTCAGATGACAAAATTCAAATTTAATCAAATTGGTAAGTATTTCTTTACTAGCTTCAGTTTCTATAGAGTGAAGACCATTTCAATATTTTAATCATACATGGCATAAATAATGTACCCTAATAGTTTTTAAATCCTTTCATATACTTTTTTGTCATGTTGATATTTTTCCCTTGTTTGTGTCTGATCAGCTGTGGTACAAATTTGGTAATCATATTTTTCATCTCTTTAATTTTTTTTTCATTCATACTCAATCGAGTACTAAATGAAATATTCAGTAAATATCAGCTTCATTTTTGCCTCAAATATGCAAGTGCGTTTGTTCTATTCCTTCTATACAGGGTGTTTCATAATTGAATGTCAATATTCGAGGAGGCGATTCTTGGGCTCATTCTAAGAAGAAAGTTTCATATGAACGTATGACCTAAACGTCCCAACTTTTGAGATACAGGGTGCTAAAATTCTCGAAAATTAATATAGCCTACTACAATGAGAAGTTATAATTCGAAAATACCAAATACGAATACAAAGTTCATGAACTATGAATTGTATTTCTGAAATTTGATCTTGAAAATAAAAACTATTTCTCTGCATTGTGATATTGTCATATTAACAATAATACTATAATCATGTAGTGAAAAGCTTTTTATTTTTAAGCGAAAACCGTGCATCAGATTGAAAAAATTGTAGTGATCAAATTTGCTTAGAAATGATCGGGAATTTCAGGAATGATTTCAATTTGGAGATTAATCAGTGGCGTACCATCAATGTCTGCCAAAATAGGTATGTGAAATTCCATACGAACGCCACTGGTGGCAACAACAAAAAATGTGGTACGCTAACTGATGCCTCTTGATACATAGTACATGTATGCCAAATTTCATCAGAATATCTGAAGTGGTATTACAGATATTAATAAAAAACTATTAATTTTTGAGAACTTTACCACCCTGTATCTCAAAAGTAAGGATGTTTAGGTCATACGTTCATATAAAACTTTCTTCTTAGAATGGGCCCAAGAATTGCGTCCCCAAATATTGACATTCAATTATGAAACACCCATATGTAAGAAGAGTAAAGCAAGTGAAACTAGTATTAGGATAGGGCGTAAATTATACAGTCTGATCCACCAAAACAATACTTCAATGTACTAATTTGATCTGAACAAGACATTTTTTGGAGATTCAGTATAAAAGAAGAGTCACATGAGGGTACTAGAGTAAAGGAATAATTTCAGACAAACAACCTATCAGCTACATTTTGATACGGGACTTTTCTTATCCCTGACGTGAGCGCCCTAGTTAACGGTACAGTTTGCGTGACTATGTATATCAGTTGCAACGGTCTTCAAGGAAATTCTATGTCGTTACTCAAATACGTTCATTTAAATGTTGGTTGAACAAGTTCTCGCATCACTCTCAACTCGATTTACTTGAGGATGGCGAACAGAAGAAAACACGACCTTACCCCGAGAGGCTCAAGAGTATTTTTCTACTTTTACGCAGTAAATTGACTTCCATGATCAGACAATACCCTTTCTGGCAATCTCAGCTTTGGAAAATAATCCATAGTTAACCGATTTAATATTGCCGTTGTAGTAGACTTCTTCAAAGCATAAAATGTTACATATTAAGTGAAAACATCCTACACTACACACACAAAAGTAGCTGTCCGCACTTCGTTTTTTGAAAAATATCGCATTCCTTAATTATTTCTTCACGGACTGTGACATATTATTCCACCAAACTTCTTGTTTCAAAGCTTGCCATATCTTGTACGATCCGAAATGACCCGAAGTGCAGTGATAAGCGTCAACTAATTCCGCTGTAACTCTTTTGGGACACACACTAGACACCAACGATCATTTCCCCTACGAACTTACAGAACCTGCTCAAACATTAAGAATCTCGTTTGTAATTTTAAATCATTTCCTAAATTATTGATAATATCTGAAAGTTTCTCATCATTTGGCTGATACTGTCCTTTTTTTTTTTCATCTTTGATTGTAAGTCTGGTGGTAATTTGAAAATGGGCGTGTACACCTTAGTATAACTTTTAACTCAAACCATGTTTATAATGATCCTTTTATACATAAATAATGATTGACGACATAATTCGATCGAAAAATTAACTGGGATGTTTTATTTTTGGACATAAATAATAGTACTTTCTGAAAACGGACCCTCTTATGACGTAGAAACCTCATCTCGCCATAGTTAAAAGAAAATACCAAACGCCCGACGGAGACTGAGGCAACTGATGTATTAATTTTTTCAACTGTGATCTCGCGCTAATTCACTCTGTCAGAAATCATGTATCATTCATCTCTGTCTGGAATAGTCTTGTTTCAGTATTAGGGTTTGACGTTACATCATCTCCTCGTTTTCAAAGGTCCGAAAAATCGGGGATTTCAATAATTTTTTATAAAACGTAGGGAGCTCACAGCAAGAAACGGTTTGCGGTGGTGAGCTAGTTTGGGTGAGTTCAATCAAATTATGAAATATTTTTTTTTGTGATATAAGCCCATTGGGAAAATCTTAAACTTGTCAGATGGTTCTGGTAGACTCACCGCAGCGTTACGTGATAGAGCGTCGGCTATAACATTTTGTCTGTCCGGAATAAATTATTGTAGAGTGAAATCGAATTCTTGAATAGCCGATTCTAGCAGATAACCGTCACCTTTGTGAATAATAAACTGAACGATTATCCGTATATACCACAAACTTTGTTCCTAATAAGTAGGTATATTCGAAATTTCACCAGAGCCCAAATCAGTGCTAATACTTCATGTTCATTGATATGATATCGTTTTTCTCTTTCTAGCAATAGCCCATTCGCCCACGCAATCGCATGACATTTCACTCGCATTAACTTGTAATCAATACGGAATATCCACTTTTGGATGGTAAAGTAAGGTCTTGTCTTGCATTTTTTCCTTCAGCTGCTGAAAAGCCTCCTCTCTCTTTTCATTAACATAAATCTGGACAAATGATTCGAATTCTGATCCCAAAATACTCGTTGAACAACTACAAAAAACATTGACACTTGTTGATAAACCGAAAGGCAGAGTTCTGAAACAATAGGTTTTTCCATCAACGCAAAACCCTGTATAAGGTTGAGAATTAGTTGACAAACGAATCTGCCAATAGCCATGCATTCAATCTAAATACCTCATAAATGTGATATTTCTAATGGAATGTAGAATTTCATCGATGGGTCTTGGTTTATCATTTTTCCGCTCCATCAATTTATTCAGATGTCTCGCATCTGAGCATATTCTCACCCTATTATCTTTTTTACAGTCGTCATTATTGACGAAATATACTGGGTTGCCATACGTCTGATAACCCCCCATTTTTCCATTAAATTCAATAGTTTTTGTTACATATGGTTTATGGCTTATTGGTCCTGGATATTGCTTTAACATCACCATGCATATTGGCGGATGACCTTGAACCCTGAATGGTGTTTCCTAACTGATGAAACTTCTTCAATACAATATTGAAAATTCATAATAATAATAATAATAATAATTTATTGCACTTAAATTACATATTACAAACATAACAAATACATTGGTAATATATACAAGCCAGTCACAGAACATTAAGAAATAGGACGAAAAATTAATACATAATATAATATAATATAAAACATTTATAGTGAGGATGCAAAATTTAAGTATTCTGAACCTACTGCACTATCCAGGCACTGCTCAAAATAATCATTCAAGGAATAAGGTTCCAGATTACATAAGAAGTTAAGTATAGGCTTCTTCACTAGTTGAAAATTTTCTTTCAGTTTTATGTGTGTTGGTAAATGATTAAATAATTTTATACAGGAGTATAGAGCACCTTTCTCAAAACAGGCTAACCTATGATATGGAATATTGTAATTTGAGATGTTTCTAGTACTATAGTTATGAGTTATGTTGAATTGTAGGAAATATGGCCTATTTTTGAACACAAATTTAATACACTCATATATGTACAATGCTGGAACAGTAAGTAAATTTAGGGAGCTGAAGTGAGTTTTACAAGAAGTGAGATAACTCAACTTTTTGATTATTCGAATAGCTCGCTTTTGAATTGTGAAAATATTTAAGGCTTCACTGCTTCCTCCCCAGAGAATGATGCCATAACGTGCCCTTGAATAGAAGCTTGCATAGTAAAAAGTTTTAACAATGTTGATATTTGTGTTATTCGACAGTATTCTGAGGCCAAAACAAGACCGGTTGAGTTCCTTACTGAGGTAATTGATGTGGGAGGAAAAACTCAGGGTTTCATCAAGAAATACACCCAAACACTTGATTTCTGTGGAAAATTGTATTTTATGTTGATTGAGAATGATATTGTCTGGGGTTTCAGGCCCACGTGTTGTTTTGAAAAACACTGCTTTAGTTTTGTCAGGATTTAGTATTAATTTTGAATTCAAGAACCAATTTTCTATGTTAACCATGAGTGAATTACCATTAAGCGTTAGTTGAGGAAAATTTGAAGCGGTAAATAACAATGTAGTATCATCTGCATAGTTAATGACAGTTTGATCTCGTTCGGCAATTGATAAGAGATCATTGATGTAGATGATGAATATGAGTGGCCCTAATACGCTGCCCTGCGGCACCCCCCTGGACACCTCCAGATATCCAGAGATACATTCGTCTGATAATGAATACAAATTATAGATAGCGACTTTCCCTTACTCTCGTCCGTCTGCATGATTTTTGTGATTGTTCACTAGGTAGTTATAATCCTTCATATATTTCTACATACTATCAGTATAGTTGCTACATTCAATTATCAAACTATCCACAAAACAACATAGGCACCCATACTAACTGCACTTGAAAAATGATGACAATGTCAGAACATTAAATGGAACAATCTATAAGTACCTACCTACTGAAACCATGAACAATAATATAATAACTTCTAAAAATATTGGTTCTTTCATAGATATGTCCCTTATGGTATGGAAATACATATAAATGCAGGAGAGTTGACTGTTGTTTATAATCAAAACAATATGAATTTCA